GTTGATTGCCTACTGCCTACAAACATGTCCATGTCTCCCCATCCTCAAAAAATCCCTCATATGATCTATCCATTCTTGCTAGCTATTGTCCTATATCTCTCCTCCTTTTTGTGGCTAAACTCCTTGTGAAGGCCATCTATAATTGGTAACTCCACTTCCTTTTACTATCTTTTTAACTTTGTAGTCTGGCTTCCAATTCATCAGTCAAGCAACTCTCTCCAATGTTACCAATAATTTCTCAATTTCCAAATCTTTCTATTTTCTCTTGTGTTTGATACTCTTGTCTCTCCATGTTTTTGTGAGATAACTCTCTCCTGGATCTTCATGCAGGTCATATCTGCTAACCATGGATGTAGCCAAAGGTTCTATTGTGGACCTTCTTCCCTTTTCCTTTAACACTATTTGTCTCGGTGATCTCAACAGCTCCCATGGATTCAATTATCTGTATTCAGAGGATTTTCAGATCTACTTATCCAGCCCTAACTTCTCTCCTAGACCTCCAGATTTGCATCTCTAACTGACTACTGGGTCACATGTACTTGATGCCCCATAGATATTTTAAGCTTAACATGATCAGAACAGAAGTCATTACCTTCCTACCCTTCCAAACCCATGATTAGCAAGCATGACCTAGATGAAGGTTTAGCAAAGGATATTGAGGAGTTGTCAGTATCCTGACAGGAGAAGCAGAACAGAATTAGCTCATAAAAACCTGGAGAGAAGAGAGTATCAAAGAGAGATCATTTATATTTCACATTTGAAAAATAATAATATTTAATTTAAAGGAGTATCCTGCCAGGGAATGGCTAAACAAATTGTGGTATATGAAGGCAATATAATATTATTATATCTTAAGAAATAATGAAATGGAAAATTTGAGAGGAAACTAGAAAAGCTTTTAGGAATTGATGCAGAAGGGAGTGAGTAGAACTAGGATAATTTATACAATAATAACTATGTTACAGAGAAAAAACAACTTTCAAAGACTTTAGAACTCTGATCAGTGCAATGTTAAATCATGAGATGAAATAGGCCATTCATCTCCTGACAGATAGGTGATGAAATAAAAATGCAGAAGTAGACATACATTTTCAGACTAGCTAATATGGGAATTTGTTTTGCTAGACAATATGGCTGTTTTAAAATGTCTAACTTGCTCGATGGGAAGGGAAGAAAAAGTTAATTTTAAAAATGCTTATTACTTGAAAAATACAAATAGTGAACTATTTTTTAAACATTTAAATATTTAACATTAAAAACAAGAATACAAAAAAGAAAAAAAATCTAAATAGATTCACTGTAGATTATAAACTCTTTCCTGAGCATGGAAGTTTATTAAGTATAGGAACTAACTAATTTTTGTTATTTTCCCTTATGTGTTTAATGTTATTTAATCTCTGAGCACTCAGAAAATAAATAATTGTTGGCTGTGTAAAATGAAAATAATTCTGTAGCAGTCTTACAGCTTGTCCTGTTACCTGAAGGACTTTTCCAATTACTATGTTATAATCAGAGGTTAATCAACCAGAACATTCATCATACTACTTATAATTTTACCAGGAAAAATGGTATTTATTCTGAGTGTCAAATTCTTGTCAAGTCTCTCTACCTTTCATAACTTTGTGGTATATCAGAACCCTTCACAATCCCTCCAGCCTATCTTTCCCAATCTATTAGCATAATGCCTGGCGCATAGAAAGCTCTTAATAAATGCTTATTGACTTGACTTGATTACCCATTATTCCTCATCACTCACTGACCTGTTTGCTTGTACTCGTGAACACTCTTCCATCTTCTACCTTTGTGCCTGGATCAGGCTGAGCCCTGTGTATGGAATGCTTTTTTCTCTCTTTCCTCTCTTCCTCTGGAAGTCCCTAGCTGTTTTTTTAAGGCTCAGCTCAAGTTCCTACTTCGAGAATCCTTTCTTAATTCTCCTAGCTCAGAGGTGGGGAACCTGCAGCCTCGAGGCCACATGTGGCCCTCTAGGTCCTCAAGTGCAACCCTTTGACTGAATCTAAACTTCACAGAACAAATCCCCTTAATAAAAGGATTTGTTCTGTAAAACTTGGACTCAGCTAAGGACCTAGAGGGCCACATGTGGCCTTGAGGCTGTTGGTTTCCCACCTCTGTCATAGTTGTTAGTATCCCACCGTCACTGAGTATTTATTTTGTATATTTACTCATAAAAATGAACATTATACATGTACATGGATATCTTCATATATAGGTTTATGTAGACACACACACACTTCTCTGGGAACGTACTGTATTTCTCTAGTAGAATGTACGCTCATTTAGGGCAGGGGCTTTCTGATGAATGGATCTGTGTTCCTAGCACTTAGCACAATGCATAGCACATAGCAGACATTTTAAAAATGCTGACTGATTGATTTTAATTAGTGGAATAAAAGGATGCATTATTACAATATCATGTAAATATTTTGTGTCTACTTCATTAGAAAGGCACTATTTTGGGAAAAAACTCTAGCTGTCACCAAAAGTCAAGTCAGCAAACATGTATTACAAGCCTACTATATGTCTTCCTTACATTGTGCTAAGGGCTAGGGATAAAGAAAGGCAAAAAGACAGTCCCCACTCTCCGGGCATTCACAGTCTAATGGAGGAGATGACACGCAAACAACAATGTACAAATAAGATACATGCAGGATAAATTGGAGATAATCAACAGAGGGAAGGCACTAGCATTAGGGAGAATCAGGAAAGGCTTGTTATAGATGGTGGGATTTTTTGTTTTTTGCTGGAACTTGGGGGAAGCCAAGGAAACCAGGAGGCAGAGATGAAGAGGGAAAGAATTCCAGACCTGGAGGACAGCCAGTGAGAATGCTCCAAGTCAAGAGGTGGCCAGTGTTACCGGATTGGAGTACATGGAGGGAATTCAGTTGGAAGGTTGGCAAAGTAGGGAGGGGCCAAGTTACAAAGGGCTTTAAAAGCTAAACAGAGGAGTAGCTGTGAACTCTTCCACTCCCTTTTGCTTCTAGATGCAGTCCCATTGAAATTTTCTTTTAAAGGATTAAACTTGCCACTTCACAGTTTGCCATGGATGATGATATTTCTGTCCTTGTTGTTTATGATAGCTCTTAAATGTACAAAGCTGTCTTCATAGGAGATGATGCTACTCTGGCTGTCTTCCCCTCCACTGTTGGGTGCTCCAGACTTCAGGGTGTGATGATGGGTATGGGACAAAAAGACAGCTAGTGAGGGATGAGAACCAGAACAAGAGAGGTATCCTGACCTTGAAGTACCTCCATTAAGCATGGTATTGTCACCAAATGCAATAACATAGAGAAGGTCTGGCACTGCACTCTCTTTGAAATTTTCCATTTCATTACTTCTTATGACAAAGTAATATTCTATTACCTTCATATACCACGCTTTGTTTAATCATTTCCTGATAGGATATTCCCCTAATTTAAATATTATTATTTTTAAAAATGTGGAAGGTGAATTATAATTAATTGTAGTAAAATAGATAAACACAAAGATAAGTTCTTAATTTACTGAGTAAAAGGCAGAAGTCTTGAAAATTATATTTAAAAATGATTTTTATGTTTTCCTTAGGCCTGTAAAATTTGTATGGTACTTTCCTCTACCTCCCCTGAAGCTTTTTCTGCCTGCTAATTTAACTCTGGCTTTAACATCCCAACACTTCCTTGCTGTTTGTGCTGGCCTAACAACACAAACACCTGCCTAAAGAAAATCATGAGCTACTATATAGATGCAGATGCTCTAAACTGCAACCCCAAAAGAAAGATAAAGAAGAGAGAGCATATAGTAAATTTATTTCCAATAACATTGATGTGAATTTTTAATGGGAAAACAAATTAGGTCATGCTAGAGAGTAACTGCGACAATTTGTGCAATGTTTTCTATCTCAGAACTGGCAAGTATGAACAGTGAAACAGGGGAGTACCAGGCTGGCCCTATGCCCTGAAGAGCAGGTGGCCCTCTATGGTATAATGATTTGAGAGATGATAAAAGGCCTCCCTAACCAAAACTGTCTCTCTCCATTGACTCCTTGACATTTGAAATTTCTCTTATTAGTTAAACTAAAAACTGCTATTAGTAGTTTTTTGGAGTGGAGTCCTATGTAGAAATTCTGTACTAATGGGTCAGCAGAAATAGTCATGGGCGCACATAAAATACATGGGATCAAAACCATTGCTTATTTCTCTCTCCATCATTGTCACTGCTTGATCTCTCAGTTAGTGAATTCATCCAGTCAATCAGATCAATCAAGTTAAACATTTCTATCTATCTATCTATCTATCTATCTATCTATCTATCTATCTATCTATCTATCTATCTATCCGTCTATCAATATATATATATATCTATACGTACCTCTGTGTAAGTGTATGTATAATCTTTAGCACTCTGTAACAACCAATGAAAACTGTTACTTTCTGGTTTGATATTGAATAAACAGTTCAGTCTTCTAGTGATACACAATGTTGGAATGCTGGAAGATTTTCAATTTGTTGCTATTCTCCTCCTTTACGCCTGCTGATGAATAGTGTTATACCGTCCCTAAAGGGGTAAGTATAGTGTGGCCCTACATAGATTTCTGGGACTTAGAGGTATTTTTGCTCATCTCCTGAGGCAAGGTAATGTGTGTGTGTGTGTGTGTGTGTGTGTGTGTGTGCAGATAGGTATACATATATAATAATATAATTATATACATGTGTATTAAATTATTATAATATATACACATATTACACATATATTATTATATATACACACACATATATTATACATATACACATATACACATATATCTATACATATACACATATATTTGAATCTTGGATAGTAGTTTTTGGCTTATCCCTTTTTGGGGCAACACTAAAAGGAAAACCCACAAAAGAATGAAAAAGAGAAAACAGGAAGAGAAGGGAGGTGGCAGGGCTTCTTATATGAGAGGCCACCAGTATTTATTAAGCCCCTACTATGTGCCAGGCACTGCCACCCAACAGACTTACCTTTCCAAGTACAGGGATGGGATTCCGACCTCTCAGTCCATTGTTAGAGAGTTTTCTCCCTCTGGGGATATAATCACAAGTCAATCATACGTTTTCTAATTACACTTCTGAGAACAGAACTATTATGAACTTGGGCCCTTTAAACCTCCCTCATTAGATTACAGTCCTAACATAGTGACACCTGAAAAAGGCTCAGCAATCTCTTGCACAGAGGTCCTAGTTCTCCTTGAACATCCCATATGCCCCATAAGTAAAGGTTTGTTATTTACAAGGTGTTGTGTTAAGCACTAGGGAAACAAAGAAAGACAAAAACATGGTCCTTGCTCTCAAGGAGTTCACATTCAAATTGGGGAGACAACATGAAAACAACTATGTACATACAAGATATATGTAAATGGAAGATAATCTCAGAGAGAAAGGAAAATAATAATAGTGGGGGGAGGCTTGGGGAAATAGAGAAAGACTTGTAGAAGATAGTATTTGAGCTGTCTTGAAGAAAACCAGAAAGCAGAGGTGTGGAGGGAGAGCTTTTCAGGACTGAGAGACACCTATTTAAAAGGTATAGAATCAAGAGATATAAGCATTGTGTTGAGGAATACCAAGAAGACCAGTATTGGTGCATTATACATCTGGAGGAGAGACCCAAGTATAAAAAGACTGGAGAAGTAGGAATGAATTAGATTGTGAAAGGCTGTAAAAAGCAAATGCAAATTTTATATTTGATCCTGGAGCTAGTAGGGAACCACTGGAGTTCATTGAATAGGGAAGATATGATCAGACTTGGCCAGCAGGAAGGTCAGTTTGGCAGCTAAGTAGAGGATGGACTAGAGTGGGGAGAAACTGTTTAAACTTTGAAAGCTTTAATCGCTTAAAACTGCACTATTGAGATCTCCTGTATAAGTAAAAACCCAAACCCTGTATAAAAAAACTATGATTTCATATCCAATCCTCCTTTTTGTTTTTCTTTATGTGTAGAAAAGTTTATATTTGTTGATGATTGTTAAATTCATAATGAAAGAAAAATGTAAAAATAATTAAAGGATTAAAAAAAGAAAGAAAAAAGAAAGATCCTTTTAAAATTTGTTATTGTGAGGTTGGTTTGTAGTGAATGGAGGACCAAAACTGTTCAGACCTGTCTTTTAACAGCATCTAATTCGCCTGTCAGTTTGTCTTGTAGATGATAAGTGAATTGAATACTTTGTAGGGCAGGGTAGATAGAGAGTAAAAAGAACTGTTGCCTGAGGCAGATATGAGGTGGAACACAGGGCTAAGGTAAGGAAAGAGTTCAGAGAGTGAAGTCCACTGGGGAGACTTGAAGAAGATAAAGTAGCTTGGGTAAGGGAGGGAAGATGGAGGCCAGCCCATTGAGGAAAGCATGAAGAAGTACATTCTAACTTTGCCTAAGATGAATTATGTGTAAGGTACACAAGGCCTTCTCCATCAGATGGTATTAGCTTGAGCCACACCCCATATGATATTTTTGGTGCTTTCTTGAAATTTATTGAAGCTTTAAGAAAATTTTCATTGCAAGGTTACTGGAATGGGAAAGGAAGTGATGGGAATTGTAATGAGGCAGTGGAAGAGGATGCTTGTGTTTAACCCCAGAAGGACGTGGCTGGAGGTGATGGCAGGGTGTATATGTATGGGTGCCTTGACTGCACACTAGAATGGAGAAGAAATAAATGGAATTTAGTTACATTAATTCATTCAGAAGTAATGAGTGGGGGCCTTCCATTTAAAGGGGTAATTCTGAAAACTTATAGTTACTTACATAGTCCTTTCATATTCCCACTGAGATGGAGTTATGAGAATGACTCAAAGTAGAGATGAAAATCTGTTCATTAGCCCTGAGTCACGTTGGCTAGGACAATCTCATTCTCCAAAGCAGCAACATGGAGGGGGAGAAGTGACCGGGCAGCTTTGGAGCTGAAGAACAATAGCAAAGGGTAGCACTTTAAAGGACAATGGCTATGCTGAGTAGTTGCAGAGTCAGAACCAATAGCTCCCACTCTGGGGTTGTGCTGACCTGATTGGCCAGCTCCAGTCACCCTCCTATGCTTTACACTTCCTCTTTATCACCATTTATCTTCCTGCTATGCAAATAACCTCTACCCTCCACTTTACAACTCCTGTTCTGAGCACAGACATCCAATCAATACCGTCATTGCTTCATGAACAGACATGTTAATCAGTTGCCCTGTGGATCAATTCACCACCCCTGTGATTCCCCAGACCAAAACTTCCTCCCTTCATTCATTGCTTCCCTACATATGTTGTCTCCCCTATTATAATATAAGCTTCTTAACATCAAAAACTGTTCTTTTTTTTGGTATTTGTATCCCTAGCACTTAGAACAGTGTCTGGCATATAGTAAGAGCTCAATAAATTCTTTTCATTCATTGATTCATTCATTAAACAGCAGCCAAAAGGCATCACTTGTTGGTAGATGGATCTGTAAGAACTTAAATAGGAAAAAAATTTCTGAACCAAACATTGAAGTCAAAACCCTTCCTCAGTATGGAGCATGAGTTTTCTGGGAATTTTAATCCTTTTGTTTACTGGCTTGTGACCCTATAGGAAAGTGTACTTATATGTATATTGAGCTGAGAATCATCCTGATACATGATTTCCCCCTGTTATTTACTTTGCTATTTTGCTTCTATCAGGTACTTTGGTTTGTATTTATGGCTTGTACTTTGTTTATTGTTAGAGTAGGCATTGGAAAAGGAGTGCTATTATGTTTTTTCCCCACATTGAACTAAAGGAACATGTGATTCCAAAGTTAAGTAGGTTATTGATTATATATGCCTATTTGGGAACTTTTGCCTATTTTATAGAGCCACATTTATTTCATTTTTTAGTGAATTTATGTTGCACCTCTATCTCAGTTATTATACAGTAATTAAGGCAAGTCACATCATACACTTTTTTTTTGAGGAGGGATCAGTGAGATGTTAAAAAGTGAAAAACAAATATCGCTGGATGTGGAGTAGACCTTGTCCTTTTGTTACTTTTCCCCTAATGACTTTTGAGTTTATATGAGTCATACTTACACTACCTTTCCCTCTTTTTGAAATATCTCCTTTGCTGACAAAACTGAAGTTTTTCTCAGACAATGGCATTTCTATTTACTTATCTACCTCCATGTATGAAGTGATATGATGCAGGCATCCAGACTTGCTCCGCATTAATGATGACTAAACCTTCCTTCTAAATATTCCCCCTTCCTTTTAGCTAATACACACACACACACACACACACACACACACACACACGCATACAAAAGGGTCTTTGCCAGGATACTAAGGCTGAAAACAGGATAAAAATGAGATCAACAGCAAGCAAATATGCTCTAGACCATTTGCCTATTTTGTGTCTTTTCTCCACTCCAATTATGTGGTGCAGAATAATATGCTCCAGTCCGTCTGGCAGCAGGAGGAGAGAAAAAAATCAGTTAAGAGTATTAATTGTTTGAAGGGTCCAGCTGCAGATTTGAAGGAATCCTGAATGTCATTCAAATATGTTACAAGCTTTCTTCCAGGGATTGGATCCCAATTTAGTTTAGCTTTTGCTTGAGATATTCAGAGTTCTTCATGCAAAAATGTTACTTAGTTTAACATGTCTACAGGACGGGCAATATTCGTCTTCATATTTTTAATGAATAACTGCTAAGTTAAGTCAATGAGCATTTATTAAACATTTACTCTATTCCAGGTACTGTGCTAAGTGCAAGGGATACAAAGAAAAGCAAAAGACCGTCCCCACTCCCCAAGAGCACAGTGTCTATACGCAAGAAATTTTGCTAGGCAGCAGAGACGTTACAGTTAGGGCAATAAACCTAATGGGACTGAAGATAAAGTAGTTTCTTCACTGAAGACATTAAGACTTTCCTGGTTTTTAAAGACTCTTATTTCTCATTTTGTGCTGTTGATGGAAATTCTCTCCAGATCTAGGAAATGTGGCATTATTCCCAGCCCATTGGGAATGGCTGGGGGGCTACTCTTTCTGTGGTATCAGCATCTAATATGGCTTCCTTTCCAAAGGGATTCTTTGGCTAACCTTAGTCTCTGTCTCTGACCCCTACTTGCTGCCAGGGCTGTGTTCATTGGGCATTGTGCTAGAGAGGCAGTAAATAAAGCAGGTAGTTAATAAAACCCCACAACAGTCTAGAGTTGTGAATATGGCTCAGTGAAACCAGGCCATTGGTTGCAACATCAGTTGTGATACAGTACCACTTAGTTAGAGGTGGCTCAGTGTCTGCTACATAGCACCCTCTATTATTACCTTTCCAAAATAGAAAGAGCCTCAGAAGACTGACAACATATACAGTTTCTATTGAGCCTGAAGGAAAAGTCATCACAAGTCACCTCCCATTTAATGGGGCTGTACCAGATCTTAGAGCAGCGTGACAACATGCTTATAGTTGTATGAGATGCTCTTAAGGAGATACACATATCCCATGCTCTCTTTTATCCCTCGCAGAAATGGGTAGCGTATATCCACAGGAGAGATACCCCCAAACTAATGCAGTTCTGCTGTCTTGCCAACTCCTTCCATCTTTCTCATCAATTTTATTGACTACTGGACTGTTCAAGGCAGCCTCAAATATCAGTAACACTGGCATTGCCCTTTTGTATGAATACTCTCATCCCACGTGTCCCTGTTCTGGGCAGAAAGGCCCTGTTGGTACTCTAGGTTACTATTTCCTCACATCTACAGTCCTCTTGTGCTGCTTTTCTTGTGCTCCTATACTACAGTGGGAATGGTTTGGACAGGATAGGACCATAAGTGATAGGGGAGCCATTGTGATACCGTGGTCACATGATAGGAACTGTGGAAAGGGTTGTACATAAGAACTGGCTAGATACAGGTTGTACATAAGGATTGAAACAGAGGATGAGAGGGCTAAGATCAATGAAAACTAGTTTAGAGCTATGTGCCCTTGGACTTGGAGTCAGGAAGAGCTGTGCTACAAATTTGTCTCATATGCTTGCTTAGCTATGTGACCTTGAGCAAGTCATCTAAACTCTCTGTGCTTCAGTTTTCTCATCTTTAAAATAATGGAGTTGGACTTGATGGCCTCTAAGGTCCCTTTTGACCAGGAGTTCTTACCCTTTTCTATATCTTCATCTCATTTGATATTCTGGTAAAATCTATGGTTGATCTCCTTCTCTGAATAATGTTTTTAAATACTTAAAGCACAATTTATTTATTTAAATAAATATTTTAAATATTTAAAAGAGAAGTTCATGGATTCAAATTAAGAACTTCTGTATCTGACTCTAAATCTATGGTTCCATGATCCCTCTCAGAATAATGTCCATGATGCCATGGTCACCATCTCACCATTTAACTAGCATATAAATAGCTATTCGTGATGGGATGTATAGAAATACAATTGGTCCAGACTATACTAGTTGAATGACTGGACCCAAAGAATAGTCATTAATGGTTCAATATCAACTCGGTAGGAAGTCTTTAGTGGGATGGTTCAGAGATCCATATGATTGGCCTTGGGCTGTTTAACATTTTTAGCAATGGCTCCTATAAAGGCATAAATGGAATACTCATTGAATTTGCAGATGACATAAAGCTAGGAGAGATTGCTAGGAGAGATTGCTAACACTTCGGATCATAGTCAGGATCAAAAATGTTTTGACAGATGAGAACATTAGGTTCAATCTACTAAGATGAACTTCCACACAATTAGAGATCTCTAAAAGTAGAATGAGTTGACATAGGAAGTAGAGGTTCCCATTTATTGGAAGTTTTCTGTAAATGTTGCATGTCCATTTGCAGGTTATGTTATAGAGGAGGTACTTGGGGATATAGGTTGGATTAGATGACCACTGAGATCCTTTTAAACTCTATGATTCTGTGAAATGTCCAATAAAAATGAGTTCATGTGCGCATCTAGGAAAGAAGGGAGATATTAGGTAGATGAAAAAAAACATTCAACCTGATTGCCCCTGAGCTTTAGAAAAAATATACACTCTCTTCATCAGGCCCCAGAATCCCTGTGAGGTCAAATGACAGATAGAAAGGCAAGATTTTGATTCAGGTTGCATAATTAAGTGAATGTCTAGACTAAGTCGCCAACCAGGAAATTTATAGACTGACAGTAAAAGGAAATAAAAAAAAATTGTCAGTTAAAAAAAACCAGTTAAAATGGCATTGTAATTTAGAAAAATATTGTCTTCCTTACCCATCTGTAAAGTTTAGATTGTGAGGATTTTTTCTGAAAAGAATCCACACTGATAGTTGGCTCTTGTGGTTGGGATGCTAGAGCCAGACATATGATTACAGCTGGGGGCTTTCCAATTGAAATATTGCTCAGACACCCCAATTTGGAAAAGTGTGTAACTTAAAAAACAAACTGACACATAATTTAGCTTTACTGGCCTTTTGTGTATATGACAATTTGTTAGTATAGGATGTCTATTGTCAATATATTAACAATTCTTTTATTTGCTTGGAGGTTGTGGGGATATACTGAAAACAGGCAGCCCCCAATTTAGGAATAGGCTGTGTTGCAAAAGATTTTGTGGTGTGGAACTTAGAAAACATTTTTCCATTTTTCCATATGGCAGTTAGGTTCCCAGGCTAGGGTATAAAAACTTATTTTATTGATAATGTACTTAAAGCATAGTATGGAATTAATCATATTATATTACCCAACAGTCACATATAATGAAGTTTATGTAGTAAAATTATTCAAAGTTCCAACTTGGTACTCCAAGAATATATTCTCTTCCCTGCTCCCTACCCCATGCAGGAAGATGGGTACTCCTCTTCTAATTGCAGGCCGGTAGAAGAGTAGGGGAATCCTCCCAAGCCCTAGATATGTTTCTTTTGAGTT